AAGCGCTAAACGGCACGACTTCAAAACTCTGCGAGGTATTCAAAGTCACGTCACTTGAGTTATGGCCCCAAAGATGCCACTGTCAAATGTAGCTGCGAGCTGCGAGAATAAGCTGGCAACTAAGACACGGATAAACTAAGAGCTTGCCCTTTGACAGCCAAGACAGAGCGCCGGCCAATGGGGTGCAGTAAAGGATCTTGAAAGCAAAAGTCCAATCTGGAGCAGTGAATCAAAGAATAGATCGTGATTTTGTGTGCCTTAATATTAAACAAGCTCTCACACGCCAGTTGAAAAATTGCAGCTGTCTTTCTACTCTTCTTGCAGCACGCTCTACATGACATGTCAGCAACGTTGTCTTCGAGCGCTCTCTTTTAAAGCCTTAGCATGACACTTTACAAAACAAAAAAGTAAAATATACTAGGCTATAAATACTATAAATGTTAGCTACGATAAAAAAAAAAAATCTGCCAGAGCGTGTACCCAAGACACAGCCGATGACATGTCGTTCGGCACGTCATGCATGCTGACGACTACGTCCAGATTAGCATGTGGACATGCATAGCAGGATTGGAAAAACGAGACGAAGATCGAAACTTGGGCTCCAAGATGATATAAACCAGACTCACGAGCCGGAACTTAAGGCAGGGTATTGGTTCAAACTATAAAACGGAAAACTGAAAAGTTTTGTTCGTTTTGCAGCCCTGAAGGCTGAAAGCTGTACTCAGATCGCGATATTCATGGTAAATGCGCTACTTTAAGGGACAATGCGTGAAGCATTGAAGTGGTATGAAAAAATGAAAAAAAAAACCGAAATCTGAAAAAAGAGTGAAGAGCTTTTGTACTAAAAGAATTGGATGCTGAAAAAAAAACATTGCATAATTTGGCATTAAGCGATGTCATATAACAGCAGTGTACTCTCTCTCTTTCTCTCGCTCTCTCTTTCTTACTCTCTGTCTCTTTCTCGCTGGCTCTGTCTCTGTAGTGTATGTGCCAGAGTGTCACTGCAAAGAATTGGAGCTTGAAAGTTGAGTGAAAACTTAAATGCGCCACTGAACTGAGTGCGCAGAGATAAAGTCAAATACTTGACAAGTCACAGGTAACAAGTCTGAACTTATAAAGTCATAAGTGTGTTTGTGTATGTGTGTGCGTATATGTGTATGTGTGTGTGTGAGTATGTTGTTGGTCTTTTGCAAAAGTGCCGCAAAGTTTTCAAATTATTTTTGGTTATATAATTGGAATTGATAACTTTGAGCACAACGCTGCACGAGGCGCTTCAGCGCGGAGCACACACACACCCAGCGCCAACTGTAACGAGTGCCCCAGCACACACACACACACATACCGACACATACACAAATTGCGCGTGTATTTGTCAATAACAAGCAATTTAACAATTTGCTTTACAGACACATAAAAGCGAAATTCTTGCCAAAGTTATCATTCAAACTTGAAAATCAATAAAACTTTTGATACAACAACAGGCTGCAAATATAAAAATTCCCAGCCCGCCGCTTTGCCAACTTTGGCGAACCCAAGCACGCCCCTTGCCCGGTGCCCTATGCCACATGCCACTTGCCACATGCCACATGCCCCAAGGCCCTTTCGCACCTCTCTGTTAAGTATAGACACACGTGATATTATTTGCTTATGACAATTTTTTGAACTCTTTTTTACTGTTGCTCAACAGCGGCAACAAGAAGAAGCAGCACAAGTAGAAGACAACCAAGTTGAGGAAGTCAACTGCGGCATGCAACCAATATTAAGTGCCACCCTTTAATTTTATATACGTATCTACATTTTTTGTTATATTCTTCATTTTATTATTATTTTTTTTTTGCTCTTTTTTATCTACTGGCATAACCCAATTTACTTTGTCTATCTGCCTGCGTCTGCCGACTTCGACGACGCTAAAGAAAGTTAATTAAGAAAGTTTGATTTCTTATGGCTAAATAACGCTCGAAAGTTTTACTGACTGACAAATATCGACCAATACTTGAAATAAAAATAAAACAAATAGCAAATCAGTAGGTGCGAATGCTCAGCCAGCAGATACCCTGTGCCGCAAACTCTTCTACTGCAGGGAAGGACTTGCTTTCTAAAAACTTCGAATGCATCATAGACCAGGGATCTTTAATGCTGTACTATCCTAAAGTGAGTATTCTCTTGAAATGAGTACGAATAGCTTTAAATGAGATGTGGTAAACAATTAACGGTACTCAGTGGAGCTCCAAATGAGTACTCGTATTTATGTAGATCCATCTTCTTCTAGCTATCGATTACATGGTGATATCTATGTATATCCTTTAACCACTTATTCACGGTTATAGGGTATAAAAATGATGAAGTTGAGCCTTCGAAGCCTCGCAACCCACGTTCATAAGCGAGCTGAGTATTTGAGGATTCGAAGGGGTTGCCGCGATTGCCTTAACGGCGATTGGTGGCTGTGGGCAGGGGGGTAACACTGCGGATGAGCAATAAAAAGTTTTGAACGGCTTTTTCGCTGCCTCGGTTAAAAACAAATCAACAAATATTTGCCTTACATTTATATTTATATGCATTTTATATCACAACTACGAGTTCGATATGCATGAAGTGCTCTCCAATGGAGTTTACTTAGCCATTAGTGTTTCTTGAGCATAAAATAAGGACAATGTGATACAGAGAGTTGGGTCTTGATTGTATTTTCCAAGGTAAAACTTGAACATAATGAAGTGGCAATATTTATACGGGGTATACAAATTAAAAACTATTTTGCAGTCCTGGTGACATAGTGACATTGTCATTGAACAAAGAGTATTCCAGTTCGAGCTCATAATAGGTATATGTCTGATAATGCAAATATATAAAATAATTTTTAAAACATAAGAAGATATCCTTCAGACATTATCTCTTTGTTGTGAAAAGCATTCTTATACCAAGATCACAAGGGTTAAACCCAACTCTTCTGGCGAGCTGTCCCGCCATTCGCGTTGCAGGACCGCTTGCATGCCATGTCAGGAACGTTGTCTTCGATCACTCGTTTTTGTGCCCAGTTAATCAGCAAGACCCAATCGATAAAATGTCACAAGGTGAGTCAAAGACGTAGCCAATGAGCTTGTCATCGTGCAACAGATTTCCATGCTAATGGAGCCCAGCCAACTTTACTCTCTTTGCGGCAAACTTTTCATTAGGTCTGAGTGGACATCCTAATGACTCCACTTTGATACGGCCGACAACTTTGGTGTAGGTTGTCAGCTCTGCTTCAGTTATTGCTAATTGGCCCAGTCAGCTGCATCAAAGCGCTGCCACTGACATCGGACGGCATTCAGCTCCATGTGTTGTTGTCGCTGCTGTTGGACAGACATTGCCATTGTAAAAGATGTGGGACGCATTAAAGGCGCTAAACAGCTTAATGACTTCCTGCTAGTTAGGCACTGGACACAGTCACTCTTATACTCGCTTACAATGTCTACACACACACACACACACACACACACACACACACACACACACAGTCGAATGTGTCAACAGAAGCAACAACAATAACACAGCTGTACGAATGAGTGTTTCCTTTGGTCGACGGCCGCACAAAACGACCACAGGCGCCATTATCCGAACACCAAGAATGCCCAAGGATGTTGGCGCCACCAAAAAAAATAAATAAATAAAAATAATAAAAAAAAAAACAAGTGAGAAAGTTGCGTGCGTTTGCAACTGACTGCACAATACTCTATTCACGTTGTATTTACCGATCAAATCTGTCGAAAAGTAATCAAGCTATTAAATATATATAATAAATATTTATTGCTGCCAACTTTCAGATTGAGCTTAGAAATTATGCAGTTTCGCAATTTATGTGTGTGGGCGTGGCCGCATTATTAACGACTCAAACTTAAGCGAAGGTCATGAGTAGCCAGGCCAAACTTGGCGACTCTAGCTCTAAAACTGTGCAAGCTATAGCTATTTGTGCTGTGTCCGCCCCCTAGTGGTCGTGTCCTGAAAATTATCAATCTTGAGAGTACGTCATTATTAGTTTACCTACGGAGTTTGGCGACTCTAGCCCTAGTGGGCGTGGCCAATACAATTTTGGGACAGAAAGTTAATCAATAGAATGTGGCACAGAAATCTGTATGGATTTTGCGAAAGGTACGGTTTGTAAAACTCCCCAAAAATCCATCACTGACTTAAAACTTAGGAAATTCCATTTTTCGGACTCATTTTCAATGTTTCCGAAAGATCCAACGATCCAGATGTCAACGTTAACATAAAAATAAATAAATAAATATGAATAAGTAAATCTATCGAATGTTGCAGAAATCTCTAAAGATATTGCGGCCAGTTGGTTTGTAAAACTCTAAAAGATCCACCATAAAACAATTCAATTTGAGACACGAATTCCGAAAAATTTTAAATATTTTGTTAACCAGTTCGCATCTTTATGCTCGGATGGTTTTGGGCAGGTTTTGATAACCAATAATTATCCAGAAATTTTGTAAAACTCAATTTTATCAACTAAATTATATTCATAAAAATAATAATCCGTTTATTTCTTATTCCATTCATTGGTTTTGCTTGATATGTTTTATTGTTTGCGAAATTTTTAAGAAATGTGTTGAACGAGGACTCGAACCTTTACAGCTTCATAGTTGGGAAAAACTAGGCTAACGAATCGAACCTCAAAGCGAGGCTTTGGTTTGAACCGTGAACCGAACCACTTAAAACGTTTGTTGCATCTTGGACTCCTTATTAGCAGCCTACCTTGATTTGTGCTTATAGCAGTGGGCGTGGCAGCAAAGTCTTGATACAAAAACTTAGCTACATAGGAACAAACACAACGCCCTCTTTAATGGTTAAACTTTCAAGCCATATACTCTCTATTGCTTGCAGAATAGAGTAACAAGAACCGGAACAAAAAGAATTTATGTTCCACTTGCTTCGCATTATCTCACTCGCAATTGAAGAGTATGTGTTTGTGTGTGTGTGTGGGGGGAGGGGGGGAGGAGCCGTGTATGGGCAGCGTCTTCAGAGAGTACATAAAATTTTAATGCAAATTTCCATTCTATAATTGTTCATACTTGGACACATTTGCATTTATTAAGCGCTCACGCTGTGCTGGGGGACGGCTGCTATGGGTGGGCGTGGCTTGGCTTGGCCTGGCTTGGCTTGGCGTTGCCAAGACACTTAGTTTGCATTTATTGGCCTCGTCTCTTGATGTTTTATGAGCTCCAATGTTGTTGTACTTGATATTGTTATTGTAGTGGTTGTTGTTGTTGCCGGTGTGTTACCCTCGTAGTTGTGGTTGTTGCTGCCGCTGCTGTTGTTGTTGTCGTGGTTGTTGCAGCTGGTTTTGCCGTTGCTTTTGGTTATTGCTATTTGGTTAAATTATGTTCAGAACATTCCATTCGAGATTTGTTTTTTATTGCGGCGCCTTTATTGCGTGGGTTAGTACACCATCATATGGAACTTTTGCTTGAACGCCCAATAGCCGCGATAAGGCTCCTCTCGCCGATAGACGGCTATCCGGAGCAGAACCTTACGCACATGGCGGATGGGCTGAATTACCACATAGGCCAGCTCGGGCAGACGCCAATAGCGCTCGTAAAACGAGGCTAGCAGCAGCTTGTACTTGAGCTCAGTACGTGGTATGCGTTCTGGCTCCCAGGGACGCGGATTCTAATAGAGCAATTGGATGATATGTACTAGGCATTGCTTTATTTTCATTTATTTTTTTATTATTACTATTATTATTATTGTGCTTGGAGTTTCAGTCGCAACTCTTTTCAGTTTCACTTACGGGTACTCCGTTTAAGCGCGTCTTTATCAACTTTTCGCGCTGCTTCGCCCATTTCTTGCAATTGTGACACTTTTTAAGATATCTTCCAGTTAGTCAAACGACTAAGAAAACTTCAAGTTCTCTGCTTGAATATGCTTCAACGCACAGCCACTGAATGTTATAGTACGGTGACTAGTTATTTCTATTTTGACAAGAAAATGAGCTGCCTGCTAATTTTATTTTTTGCGTTTTTTTTTGTTTATTTTTGTTTATTTTTTTGGTCAACTGGGGTGGCAACCCTCGGCCATTTGCAAACAGCTCGTTTGGGTCGCGCTCAACGGTCGCGGCGTCTGTTCTGCGGCGTGTTTGACGGCATTTCTTTTAATAAAATGAAACGCAAATGCAAAACGACAAACGACAGACAGTGACACAGCCGAAGCTGTAACGCGGAGTGTTGTGGGTGTTGGGTCGCTGGGTAGCTGAATCAACAGACAATGCCATTGCGGAAATGACGCTCAAGTGATGAACCAAATCAGCAGCACTTTTCTGTTATTAGAAGTTGTAAAAAACATAAAAAAAAAGCAAAAGAAACGAAAACAACAATCCAGCACTGTGCAAGACATTGCACGGATGGGGGTGGCATCGAGGCGTGGCACCGCCAATTGGCAAAACGAGAGCAAGAACAACACGATGACAGGAAAAATTCATGGGCGCAACATGTGCTGGCAGCCGGAACAGCGTCTAAGAACGCGTCTCTTCAGCTCTGCGGCGGAAGGCAGTCAGATGTCGTGACATGTTCCACAAATTGACAGGCGTTTTTAATTTACGGAAAACTTGGACAAATAGCATCTACTTGTATCAGCTGGCATTAGTTAACAAAATGTTGCATGCCACATACATATATGCATGCATACATACATATCCACATCAGCACTGCCAACTCGACTTTGACATTCAATATGTGGACACAGCCAAACACTATTCGATTGCCGAGAGCCTACGATGTGTATGAACGAGGCCCCCAACTTGGTATTAAAACTAAACTTTTATTAAAGTTTGGTGCTTGTATGCAAAATCAAATTTTACCAAGTTTTCCCTTCAGGCTTACAATTATAATCGATACCAAATAGAATATAGTCGCATATACATATATAGATATTTGCAAACTTGTTAGAGAAACTGAAGCTTTTCTTTGAAACTGCTGTTTAACTATATTTTTCGAAACACTTTCATGCCTTAAGGTTCGGTTCGTGAACCCAGTTATTCACGTCTAAGGACCCTAAGAAAACTTCAATCTATTATAACTAAATTTCCTATGTCTTCATATTATTATTTATAGAAATTAGTTAAATTTTCATATTCACATTATAGAAACAATTTTAAAAACTTCCAAATTGTGCAATAATATATTCTTTTAAAGAAATACGTATATCGTATTTTGGACAAGCAAACCATTTTTTCAGGCTTAGATTCGGCTGTTCTTAAGTTAGCTAATTGTAATAACGATTCGATTCATGTCAAATAGAAAACTGATATTTTGGGCTTAAGCCACTCGGCACATTAAAGCTCTAACCTCTTCCGAAAAAAAAATGTGCTGCAAGGTTAACTTTCGAACAGCGAACGGCGGCTAATTATGGACCACAAGTACGGCGTCTAGTCGGGGTCTGGGATTTGTTTTATAATGTTGGCTAAATGAGTTAAAAAGCGACCCGCTGCTCAGAATGTGTTGCGGAAATGCGGAGAAATGCGGTGCGGTGTCGGTGCCCGTGGCCAGTGAAACATGCCACACGCTGCGCAAGTGGGGCAAGTTTGTTGTTCCGTTACCCGGTTCGCTTTTTTACAACTTTCGGTTAAGAAGTTTGGCATCAGTCGCTTTTCTAAGACGAAGGCCATGATAAAAGTAAAACTTTATGCAATAATAGAAGAAGCAGAACCAGAAGCAGAAAACCAGATAACCTGAGACTGGGCGAATCGGGTGGGTCGCTTGGCCCGGCCCGGCCAGTGGCAATGGGCATCCCGTTGTGCACGTTATTGCTAACATATGTTGCTCGATATTATTAAAGTACGATAAAAATGCAACAACATTAGCACAAGTAGCTGGCGTTCCAACTAAAATGGAACAAAGCGGCAGCACAGGCAGAGCAGCAAGAACAACAGCAGCGGCAGCCGCAGCAGCAGCAGCATGGCATGCAACTTTGTGTGCCAGCAACTGCAACAAATCATTTTTTGGGCCAGGAGGCATCAGCACGCCCTCATTGCCACTGCCACCGCCACGCCCACTTGCAGTGCCCTGTCTGTTTACCTAGCTCGACATGCCACGTAGTAGATGAAGCAGCGCACTTAATTTATGTTTGTTGTGGCTGTTTTAATTTTCATAGAATTTCATGTTGTGCGATTACTCCCATATATGTGCATAACAATATATGTTCATATAAGTTCGCAAATGTATGTATATCCAACGATAGTTATCGCATCACACAGCCATACAATACGGCTAGTCTGCGACTAGGTCGGGTCTAGGTGTGGCTGTGGCTGTGAGTGTGGGTGTAGGTGTGGCTGTGGCATGCAGCTTGTTTTGCGCTTGACTGCCAACGCCTCGTGCAGCGGCAAAAATTTGTTGAAATATTCGAAAACAAGAGGAAACACTTAGCTGCTGACTTAATACTCTGACAGGCATACTTAAGCAAAATCAATGTCATATAAAATAGAGAAATAAATTCAAATTGAATTTTCTGTAGTTGACTGTTTGCCAATCAATTTTTTGACGGCTTGTAGCAGCTGTATTTGATGTGAAATACAAGTCTGCTTTTTAGCTTATACTCGCCGTATAGCCAAAAATGCCTACTCAAAAATGGCTTTATTATTGGATTAAAGGTTTTGCGAGAAAAGCGAAATACTCTCTGTTAGGGCATAAACTGTGGCGTGTGCGAGTGTCTAAAAAATACTAGACGATAATATTAATTAATTTGCTACAACAAAATGGACAAAAGTATATGAGCAATTAAAACGATAATTAACGCAATTAAAGTTTTCATCTAATTGCATTTTGTTATGTTGATTCTGCTGTTAAACGAAATGTTTATTCGCTTGCATTTGAAAACTACATGAATATGTCGGTTCAGACAATGGAGAACTGTCCAATAGAGCCTTACTAACTAATAAAAGATTCTGAGGACATATTTTTGAATTTATACATGTTAACCAAGTCAATGCAGATCATGAAATGGATATCACTTATATAGGCCTTGCTTTATATTTGCATCAGTCTTCTAGATGCTGCATTGAATAACAATTGACCAAAGCAAAGTTGACCAGAACTTATTCTAATAGTATGAGCATTCATTCTTTCATTCAGTTCGCTTATTTCTTCATTCATTCAACCAGCCTGCAGCCATAAAGAATGACAAATACAGCAGCGTGCTGAAAATCTGCGATGGCAGCAATTAAAAAAGCTCAACAAAAGAACTGCCCCCGCAGGTTGGGGCTGGTTGGCCCGGACCTGGACTGGACGCAATGGCTGGTCAGCAGGAAGCAACTCGCCAAACAATTGCAAATCAAAATATTGCACTTGCACTCAATTGAGCGCACAAAGCGTCAAGCAGCACAAAACAAATCGTGCGAAAGCAGTAAAAGCAATAGCAGAGGGCACAATAAGCTCCAGCTATGCCGAAGACTGAATACCCTTGCACACATATGCCAGATACACATATTTTGCAAACTTGAAGCTTCATTCCATACATACATGCACACACGCGCACAAATACACACACACGATGCAAGCTTAGCTGCTATTCCAATGGCTGTGCTTCTATTTCCCTTAGCGCCACACAATTGGAAATACTTTCGCGATTAGCTTCGGAGCTTATTGTCCGATCTTTATAAAATAATCAAGCACATGGAAGGAGAGGAGGTATCAGAAAAGTAAAATATTCTGCATCTATCAGAGTCTACAAGATATTGAGATATTGATAGACATTGAGTTTTATCGATTGCAGGGAAATTGAAATATATAAATAAAAAAAAAAATGTACATAAAATTATGATCAGGATTTATTGAAAAATCTTTAAATAGTTCCTATTTTCAATTTTTATAAAACAAATTGGGAATGACAAATATTTAATGAATTTTATTATAAAACTGAAAATAATATAAACTTTAGTTGACACACATACGTCCCCACGTCCCCCATTCCCCGCTCTACCAACACTTGCACAGAATTTGGTAAAATTTTTAGAATGCTTAACATTGGTCCTGATTAAGCCATTTCCGGCGTATAAATTATAAAGTTTCAACAAGATAGCTACGAAAAGCAACAGAAAAAATGGGCGAGCTAACGAACTAGGCTATATGAAACCAGTTCATCCTTCTGATCAAGGCATATGCTACAATGCGATATACATTTCATGACATAATTAAAAAGCCTAAGCAAGGGCATGCAATGAAAAAAGGCGAATGAATTAAGAGCAGGATCGAAAGCAAAGGCAAATGTGTTTTTCGATGTCATTACCAACATTTTGCCATCATTCGAGTCGCAGGCTCGCAAACATAACACAGAGATTCCTATTACTGCCGGACGGCACTGCGGCCTGAAATCACACACACAGGTCTGCCAACGCTGGTGTTATACTCTGTTCCCAAAGCAAAGAAGGGTATATTTATTTTGTGCACCGTCCATTGAAGGGTAAAGGGCACCTTGATCAGTATCAAGAGCCAAATTGATCTTAAGGACTATGGGAGCTATACATACGCCAACTTCAGAAAGTAAGTTCTCGTATAGCATACACAGATCAAGTTATTTCGAACTATCGATAACTCTACCCGTTTCTCCAATATCGATATATATCGATTTGAGAAATTTAAAGCTTATTACAGAAAATGTGGCTTCTAAAGATTGCACAGCATTAAACAGAAGTTGTTCTCAATTAGATTTCCCATAGTTTGTAGCAGAGAAAGCAAGTGAAGGTCCATGTGTTGGGTTAAGTGTGGGGTATCTCTCAGTCGGACACTCTCAAGTTGAGCATACTTAGTTGTTTTTAGTTGTTGTTTGCTTTAACAATGACATCACTTGGCTAGCCTGTGGGGATAAATAATGCAAGATACCAACTGGGGCGCTGAAACATGGTATGGGTTAACGTCTCCGTTAACAAAAGCTCCAATTGCCTTAAGCAGCGCCAACGCCAGCGTCAGCGTCAGC